GGTCACCCTGTGTGGTCCGTCAAATAAAATAATTTTCGAATCATACATATCAATATTAGCCTTATATTTGTGTAGAAAACTATTACCTAAAAGATTATACCCATTTAAGTTTTTAACGACAGCGCATTCAATAATAAAACTATGCTCACAGAAATTTACTTCAATTGAGGTTGTACCTAATAAATCTAAAGGGGACCCATTTGCTGTAGTAAGGGATGCGTTTTGGGCTGGAATAATATCATGATTCATGGGAAGTGTAGCGCTACTTATTATGCTAATCGATGCCCCCGTATCAATAAGAAACTTTGACTCAATACTATTTAATTTCCCAATTATTATAGGTTGAGGGACCGATGCGCAATTTGAAAAAATGTTAAAACAATTAGAGACACCTGTGATATTTAAATTATTTTGCGCTAATGTTGCTTTCGTAATGGGAGCTGGTGATTGAACTTTTTGGCTAGGTCGCGAAAGAGTGTCAAAATTCGCCCTAACCATCGAATTTTGACTTATTCGTTTTTTTGAGTTTGCTGCGGGCGCCGCTGATTCGGGGCCCACTTATTAGTAGACGGACCTCCTGCGCCCTGATTTCGCCCACCATTATTATTGTTATAATTTTGACCTGTATTATTAGAGAATCTGTTATTATTATAAGAATTATTATTATTAAAATTGTGATTATTTCTGTAGTTACCATTATTATTATTATTATTAGAATTGTAAAAATGACCGTCTGTTTTTCGATTTGAATTATTGTAATTATGATATTTATTTTTATATCTAGTGTTATTGTTAAAATTATTGCCATTGTTGTTACCAAAATTATTATAATTATTATCGAAATTTTTACTGTTATTATTAAGGTTCCTATTATTATTATTGAAATTCCTGCTATTATTCCTATTATTATTCCCATTGAACTTATTTTTACCCGAATTCAAACTCAGATTCTTCTGAAGGGTTTCTCTTAAAAAATCAAGCTGTTGTTGTATTTTTTTATTATCGTTTATTTTCTTGTCTATGCCTAAGCTCGCTATTTTTATAATGTTTTCCTCTAATACCGATAATGAACTAACGTCAACCCAACCTACTCTTTCGAAATATTGGTCGGGCAAACCGTTTAAAATTGTGTCTATTATTTCACTTTCTGACATATCCTCGTTTGCTCTCCTGCATTCGGCTTTAACATTAGAAAAGTAATCTAAAATGCTTTCATGGTCCACTTTTTTTCTCTCTTAATTTTNCTTTCATGGTCCTCTTTTTTTCTCTCTCTTAATTTCTTAAGTCTCATTCTTCTCTGGGCTTCTGAATTATAATATCTAATTAGTACATTTTTCATTGCCTGCCAAGTAGGAACATCCACTTCTGCCTCTTTATTTTCAAACACTGTCTGTGCCTGGCCTTTAAGGGAAAGTGGTAACATAACGAGTTTCATATTATCATCCCAACCGTTAGCTTTCGCAACTCGTTCGAAATTTGAAAAAAATCTAATAATATCCTCCAATAATTTACCCGAGAACTGTTGTGGTAAAATTGAGCTAGCCATAGTAGTTATTAATTTAATTAGTTTATTTTCTAAACGTTTTGTTTGCGCGAAAATAGGTTTAGGTTCTACAGTGACTTCGCGTGAAATTTCTGATGGTTTAGCTAAAGGAAATTTGACAACGGTTTTGTCGAGATCGGTAGGGGTGTTCGATTCACTCGAAGAAGCGCTTTTTGTGCTTAGTGGAACCGGCAGAGTACTTGGAATTTTATCAAGTTTTTCTGCTTCGGAGTCCGAATCAGATTCGTATTTTTCTGAGAGGGGTGGTTGTTTGAAAACAGAACGTAATTTATTTATCAAATCTTTAGTGTGACTGTTAATCAGCTGTTCTGCGTTTAAAAATGTCAAAATATTAAGTAATTCCCCTTTTGTACAATAGCAAAAATAATACCCTTTCGTATCTTTTTTTAAAATTTCAATTTTTTCTAAAAGGGAGATTTGTTGAAACTGTTTCGGTAAATATTGCCGTTTACTTTCTCGTTTATAAACTTCGAATATAGTGCTTTCGTAAATTAGAGTTGCTCCTACCGGAAATTTTATAAAAGCGGTATGGTCAAAAGCCTTAGAAACAGAAATACCCCTTTTCTTTTCAAATGAACTAATAACCTGATCTGGTGTTAGTTCCAAAATATTATTATCAAAACCTAATAGATTCCAAACTCTTTCGGAAATTCTATAAGTTTGATTATTAAAGGTGCGTTTTAAATAATAATAACAGAGAGGCATATAAACGTATATAAAAGATTATGTAACTCAAAGACTTAATTTATAGTTATACCTAACTACAATTGTTACTATTATAATAAAGTGAGCCAATAATAAATAAAAAATATTTAATTTATAGATTAACCGTGAAAAGCGGTATATAAAAATTGTAGTACATTTAGGGGGGGATCCCTCACTGAAAGTTTAAAATAAAACAGAGAGATCGGCGCCTCCACCAATTCTTACGTCGCTATTTAGGAGTTGAGCCTAAATGCCGGTCGANATTGTTACGTCGCTATTTAGGGGTTTAGCCTAAATGCCCGTCGACAGTATTCTAAGGGACCAACGGGGGATAGCTGGCTAGGCTATATCTACCTTAGGTACTGAAGTTTCCTATTTAATTTATATTCCCTTTGAGGAACTACCAAGTGTCGCACTACACTATATATATATATAACACTTTAGGTTAACAACGATATAAATAAATATTTATTAAACAATTGAAATATTAAATAGATAATACAACCTGCTGGACACCTAGAGATGACATAATCCAACAGGGAGCTGACGGCGACACACACACACACTATAATATACGGGGTAGCGAAGTTAAGTTAATTATCAGGCAAAAGTAGTGATCGCGAAGATGGTAAAATGTCCACTGTCGATAGGGATATCTTATTATTAAGGCGAGTTTAAGCCTTGTACCCAAAGCACGTAAGACACATGTGTTGCTGAATTGGTAACCTCACGNTGTGTTGCTGAATCGGTAACCTCACGTCGCTTCCGTCTACCGAAAAAGAAAACAATTTAAGCTAAATCAAATTTTAAAGTTATTTTAAAATAAAATACAAAACCAATTTTTTTTTTCAAATAAAGTATATGACATAATCTTTAGTTTAAGGTATATATAAAAGTGTCAGTATTTCCGAACACATGCAAAAATTAAGTAGAAAAAGTTAATTTTTTGTGAATAACATATCATTTTGAATCCCCCCCTGTGGGCAGATTTATAAAAAAAAATACATCAAATGATAAATAAAAATATCATGCATCTTTAAAAAAAAATTATATCGATTTTGTCATTTTTGAAAAGTTATCAGGGGCGTATTCACATATTTTTTGCCTATAGCAGTTTTAAGTAAAAAATATTGAAAAAATTCTAAAAATTAGCGATTTTTATATTTGTAATTTTTTTGGAGGTTTCCCCCGTTTACGGGGAACGAGGAAAATTTAAAAAATTTTTGAGGTTAATGTCTTCGACTAGATACGATTTGTGATCTTTTGACGTATCGTTGAAAAAAATCTGTTCAGTGAGAGCTGAGAAAAAGTGGTAACATACACAAAAAAAATAAAATAAATAAACACATCTTAGTAAAATCAACACCTTCTCAGCTTCGCATCGAAGCTAAAAACTAGTTCAAATTTCAAAGTTATTTTAATGACTTAAAAAAAGCAAAAAAATTTAAATAAGTTTAACTTTCTATACTATGTCAATTAGATTTTGTTTGAGTGTTTCTTTAACTAAAATTTAAAAGGTGAATACTACTTGCGTGTCGTGATATGTATATAAGAAAAGGATTGTCGAAAGATGTTTAGAGTTATATTATTATTTCAAAGTAAAACATCTTATATAAAACATAAAAAAATCTTAAATTAATTAAGGCTATATATACACAGATATACTTAATATATTCATACACAAATTACCAATAAAATATACAATAAATGTGACCTGCATGTCCATGGATGACAGCGACCTTGATTGTGGCTGGATTGCCAATAACTGGAGACTTGGTACAGAATTCGTTCCACAGCGTGGAAATGAAGTTAACTCGTCCAGAGGGTGGCGAATTTTGGCGTATGCGAAACTATGCGCGTATACACCTTTGCGATGCTTCAAAAGAGCACAAAAGAAAAAGAATGAGAAACGATAATATACTATTCAGTATCAACGATACTCAAGCGAGCGTTTGATTGCTAATGAATAATGACTCGTTTAATCGAGTCGCGTGGAACTCGTCAAATTATTTTTACCAGCGGTCAATCACATATTGATGGGGCGGTCACAACAAAGACACCATATGACTGTATACGCAACAGATTAATATAATATTAATTAAAATTCGTGTACTCCCATAAAGAGTATTGTAAAATAAAATACAAAACTCAGAGTTTAACACAAACAGAGCATTTTTTTTTGAATATGGAATATGTGGAATGAAAAATAATTTGTTTGTTTTTAAAAAAGTTATGGCAGTTTTAAGGAAAAAAATTGATAAAATGTCGTAAATGAACGATTTTTTAAATTGTAATTTTTTGAGGAATTACTCTCGTTTATGAGGAACGAGGGAATTTTTTTAAATTTTTGAAGGGGATGTTTTCGACTATATACAATTTGTGATAGTTTGACATATTGTTGAAAGAAATCGGTTAGGTGAGAGCTGTGATTGAGCATTCACAGTCGCAAAAAAAAAACACATTATAGTAAAATTAATACCTTCTTAGTTGAATGGTGCTCTACGTATTGTTCATCAAGTGAGAGCTCAGATTGAGTAGTAATAGAAAAAAAATAAAATACAACACATAATAAAACTAATGTCTTCTCAGCTTCCCAACAAAACTAAAATATTGTTAAGCCTACAATTTTTATAATTAGAGAATATTCGTCTTTGGTTATTCACCGACCTCCAAGCATAATATTACTGATAAAGCACGGCGATTATACGTTCGAAAATCGGCTCAACCAAAGTAAAATATTACCATAATATACAAATATACAGAAAAGAAAACTTTTTGTCGTATTACAAATATTTTTAGGAAAAAATAATTATTTTATAATAACATATATCCATTATTTTATTAAGTCTTCAATAAAAAATCAAAGTTAACAAGGTAAATCATTGAAACCTAAATACTCATAATCATTTTTCACAACCTTTAGAAAAAATGATTCCAAATAATCACACATAACATGAAGAGTACTACATTCAGTTAGGGTATTGGTTTTAATCAATTGTTCAAATGTTGTAATTATGTCTATTTCATATTCTATAATTTTGCAATATTTCATGTTGTATTGATTTACGTCATAAAATTTTCTCTGTAAAACAGAAGTATGAACTTGTGCTAGGTCTTCAAGGAATGATTGAGCTTCATAAAGTCCACCATTAGTAAATAACAATGTGGAAAAATACTTTTTTCTAACATCATTAAGAAATTCAATAAAAATCTCTACCAGTTTCTCTATTAATAATTCTTGACGCATATATTGTTTATCTATTGTGTAGTGTCTCATAGTAATGAGAGCAAATAACATTTTTTTAAACATATCATCGGATGTCATTAGTGTTTTATAAAGCTTAACCGCACAATTAATTTTATTTTCATAGTTACAAGCATTAATTATATGTCCCAACATTAAATTAAAATTATTAAATATTTCAATATAGCGACATCTTAAAATAAGTGCAAGATATGACTGCATGAAATCATAGTTATTCATATCAACTATTTGTAAAATATCTTTAAAATACAGTGACATTCCTTTTGTATATTCAGTTTCAACAGCTATATGTTTCCATGACATCCAACCAGAGTGAGATAATAAATGATTACACAAATAAATACCTTCATTGTTGTTATATTTCTTACTTTTGAAATAAATATACCTGTATAGAAAAAAAAAGTCATGTATGATAGCTCAAAATTATTATCATAAAAATTTTACCTTTTAAAAAATAAGTGACTAGAATGATGTTTACAGAATAAAATTCTTAAATTTAGGCAACTAAACTATAAATCTTACTTGAACGTATTTGTTCCATTTAATTGTTCAAAGCCTAGTTTTGAGTAACAGTTTTCAGTTCTATCCAAAATATATAATTCAAGATCTTTATGAATATTATTAATATAATCGTAGGAATTCTCAACCAGTTGATCCATTTGATCGATGTTATATTTCATCAATAAATCGGTTAAAATAGAACTTTTGTGTTCTGTCCCACACACTTTTCTAATATTGTAAAGATTTGATATCACTAATTCAACTTTTTTATTGAAATTTTTTATATTTTCAAAAGTACTGACCCATTTATCAATAGTAGAAAAATTAACAAATGAGTCATTGCTTAACTCTAATATATATTTGTAAAAATAATTTATTTCAGAATCTACAGTTTTAATATTAAGAATAGGCGAGTCTATAATTCGTAGATCGATTTTGTCGAGATATTTTGCTGTTTTCAACATTTTTTTAAACATATTTATTGAACAATTGTAAATATTAAAAAGTAGCTTTGTGCAATATTTCAATTCCACACATTGATATTTTAAAACATTCACTTTACACTTATTTAAAATAAGGCCTAACATTGCATTGAAAGTTTGCAATATATTAGTAAATTCACAATTTAAGAGACAAGTTATAAAGTAGAGTTTTTGTATAAAGTTAGTTTCATCGATAATTTCACTTGTGACGCTTTTGGTGTTAATTGTGAAGTTCTCAAGTTTAATTTCTGTTTGTTGAATTGAGTCCCATCCATTTTGAACACGAATGTGGTTTAATGAGTTAATAAGATATTTTTTAAAATTTTTACTTTGAGAATCACAATATACATTTATAATTTGACTTAATTGCCAATATAAGAAAAACTCATATAAAATAATTTTTTTAAACATGTTTTTTTAATTTTATGAGACGAAATTTATTATATTATATATCTATGAATAAAATAATTTAAAATTCTTTTTTATATAGCTGTTACTTTATTGAATAGAAAAAGAACGACATAATTTTTTTTATAATCATTTTAACTGCAATTGGTGATTTGTTTAATATTTAATACTGTCTAAATGTGTTTCTATAATGTAAAATATTTTTAGAAATATTTATGACGTAGATATATATATATAGAAATTGAAGTTCAAATTGCTTTAAAATTCATTGTCATAGAAATGGTTAAAAATTTTAAAAATTGTATTTATATAAAAAAATATGAATTTGAAATTTTTATTTCAATAAATTATTTTAATTGACAATTTCTAACATACTTCTTAAACGTCTAAAGACTGTCAAAAAAATAAAAATTTTAAAAATTGTCAAACATTAAATTTATAAGAATCAATAATTGTATTATTTATGTCATAAGGCGAAAGGGAAACATGTAAAGGGGATTGTCGTAAAAATTATGTGAACATTTAAAAATTAGTGTTTATTGCGTTTCGTAAATAGAATAGAACTATTCGAAAACTGACACTTTATATCCATTGTGTTATTAAAATTGTGAGTGTGTGTGTGTGTGCGACAAAAGTCATGGTTTGACTACTGGTCCTTTAGTCAATTTTAACAATTAGTGTGGATGCTGGCTAGTTTTTGGGTTTAACTGTTCTTTAGTAGGTATAGTGAAACGGTAGCTGTGCTGGTGGCTGCCAACCCAACCTTAAGTCTGCTACTTTTGAGATAGACCGTGCTGACGGATCTTAACTGTACACCTTTAGTAGTTCACTAATTGGACGGATTTGGGCTGACCAGTGTATTCAACGAGAGGTCTTGAGAAGAGCAAAAACGTCGAACTTGTCATTTAAGATATTGGTTATTATTAAGCACTATTTTTGTGTCTACGTTGGGGTATTACCGACTTACGACATATATCGGAGCCCAACTCGATGTTCTTACTGACAAGATCCCTCGATGTTTTTTCCTCTTTTAGTTGTATCGAAATTTGCATGTGCGTGTAATTTCGCTTCAATAAGGTGATACGTCAATCATTGCAGTACAATGATTAACTGAAACCATAGGCCAGAAGACCCATGGTTAGTGCAAAATATAAATATATAATATTATTTAGTTATTAAATTTTATCATTTAATAATCTCCCCCGAGAGAGGGAAAAATTGTGTCTATGTGTATAATTTTTCAATTTTCTCATATGAGTAAAATTGAAGACATAGAGAAAAAATTAAAAGACATTTTTGGGGATAAGGCTTATTCATAATTAGACACATTAGTTTCGACATAATACTTTCTGATCAGGAACTTATCAATATTTTAGACAACGGAATATCAAAATGGATTGACCTTTTTAATGAACTGACCAAAGAAATAAAACTTAATAAAAAAACACTCACTGTTCAATAAAATTTAGAATATAAAATGTGACTGATCAATAAATAATAGAACACAACATTAATTCTTAATATTAATACAAATGAATGGGGATAACGGATTAGAATGACATGGAATGAATTAGAATGAAGTAGAATTATGATATGGAATAACACAAGAGTGTAATTAGCGCATACTAAACCACCACTGACTAAATGATATCTATAGTGGGAATTATTCGCCCATCATTGCCCTAAATTCCTTGGTCTACACATTCTTGTGGCCGACGACAGTCTAATGACCATGTATTTTATACTCTACGCAATTACAAAATAATACTCAAGGGCTCTCAACATCAATTTTATCACTCTGAGTAGTAAATTTATTACTTAAATTTTGGAGTAACCACGCAGTTAATGTAGAGTCCTAAGAAATATTTAATTAAAAATAAAAACTCAATACTAACTTTTCTATTAAAATGTGAATATAGTAATGTAATGCAAACATTGTATGTAATTATAAGCTTTGTTTTAAATAAGTGTAAATTTAAATATTTAAATAAACAATATGACAAATTGATTTATTGCACTGAGCGAATTATTGATATTTTTAAAAGTTCAGTAAATATGTTTCAAAAAATTGATTTCGATAAAATCGACCTACGAAATTTAGACTTTCCTACTCTGAATATTAAAACTAGATTATGAAATAAATTATTTTTACATATACGCAAGGGATTTAGAAAATCCCACGGTATTTATGATGTATAATACAGTTGTCAATAATTTTGAAAATATAAAATGTTTTTAAAAAAAGCTGAATTGATGATATCAAATCTTTACAAAAATAAAAAAGTGTTTGGGACAGAATTTAGATAGAAAAAGTTCTATTATAACCAAATCATTTATATAATATAACATCGATCAAATGGAAAAACTGATAGAGGATTCCGACGATTATATTAATGCTATTCAAAAAAATCTTGAATTATATTTTTCCGAAATATATTTAAATTTTTATTTAAAACTAGGCTTTGAACAACTACACGGAACAAATACATTTAAATAAGATTTATAGTTTAGTATGTTTACAAACTTAAATTTAAGAATTTTATTCTGTTATTTAAATAGTATCATTATTAAAATATTAATTTAGAGAGTACGTACATTTTTTTTTTATCCATACAGGTATATTCAAAATGTAAAATATACGGCCTTTTTCAATGCATTACATTTTATTTCTTAAATAGTGTTTGTTTGTAAATATTAAAATAAAATTAATTGTGTAGTTAAGGTTTATGAAATATTGCAAAATTATGAACTGTGAATCAGACATAATTACAAAATTCGAACAATTGATTCAAACCAATACCTTAATAGAATACAATATTCTTCATATTATGTGTGATTATTTGGAATCATTTTTTCTAAAGGTTGTGAAAAATGATTATGAGTATTTAGGTTTTAATGATTTGCCTTGTAAGAATTGACAATTATTCAAGACTCAATAATGTATTGCAAATATGTTATTATAAAATAATTAATTTTTCCTAAAAATATTTGTAGTACGACAAAAAGTTTCGCTCTTCTTTTTTGTATATTTTTATATTATGGTAATATTTTACTTTGGTTGAGCCGATTTTGGGATGTATAACCTCCGTGCCTTATCAGTATTTCTGTGCTTGAAGGTCGGTGGATACTCAAAGACGTTAATCGTATTCTCTAATTATAAAAGTTGTAGGTATAAAAGTATAATATGAATAAATAATAATTTTAGCAACTAATTTTAGTATGAAATAATTCAATAATATTATTATATTATATAATAATAATATTAATATTACAATTTATACAGAGAAATTATAAAAATAGTAAAGTAGTTGTATATTTCTTTACTTTTAACGTGTATAAAAATTTAAAGTGATAAATAAAAAATAAAATTAATTGTTTTTAAATTATTACTGATTTTGATTTTTAATATGTTAAAAATAATCAGTCCAAAATTTCATTTTTAAACTATTTTTTGGGGTCTTTTAAGTTGATGAACATTTTTGATAAAGTTTATAGTAAAAAAATAAAAAATGTTTTCATATTTTTTAGCTCAACTTGTAAGTTTGATATTGACATTAAATAGAAAGTTTTATGAGAATCAAAAATAGGTTACTTTTAGATTAATGCAGTCACGAAATTTTATAATTACTATTTACAGTATATTTATCAGAAAAGCTGAATATTTTTTTGCATTTTTATCGCAATGAAACACTTAAATAGAAATAATAGAAATCATTTCTAAATAACTTTTGGTGTTTAAATAGATTCTACAACTGAAATATCCAGAACTGAATTAATTTTAATGATTTACTTTAATTAAAAAAAATAATCAAAATGTTGTTAAAAAATTTACTTAATTGAGCGTTTAATGAAATATTATTATAATTGTAGAAATCCATTGATAATTTCAGGTGAAACTAACAATAATTTTAATATAGAATTAAAAAATTATAAATAAAATAGAATTAAAAAATTATAAATTACGAAGTAAAATTATTTAATTTTGTAATTGAAAATTTACTTTTAAAATAGTGAGAGCTAAGAAAATAAATGGCAACCCCAAAATAATTCACATAGTATTATTATTTTAATATGATTAAGAAATTTCTTCTAACTAGAGATGACTATAGTGATGGAGTCCATAATATTCATGGAAGTTATTTTGTCTAAATAAGATAAAAATCAATGGAGTTGAAAATTTATTCTAACTTAAAAAGAATTAAGAAAAAAATGCAAAAAATTAATAGCTACAGGCGAGTTTAAGCCTTAAGTCCAGAGGTCAAATTTTTTTTTTTCAAATTAAAGTACATTACATTAACTTTAGTTTAAGATATATATAAAAGTGTTAGACCTTCCGAAACATTTTCAAAAGTTATGTATTTTTTAGATTTGAACCCCTTTTGTATATAGGGAAATGGTCCGATTTAAAAAAACAGGATGTCGAATGAAATATGTATATAAATACTACTTCTCATGAAAAAATTGTATTGATCCATACATTTTTTAAAAAGTTATAGCA